TAATACACTTTTTTATAAAATTGAATTCATTAATTATCAGTTAATTAATTATATTAATTACTGGTTTTTGACGCTAATTTAGAATTGTCTCCATTGTTTTAAGAATGTAACTGTTAAAACAATGACAAAAGTTGCCTTCGAAAACTGGTTTATAGCCAACCTGCGTGTGTATTGTTACAACAATGCATACAAATCATGCTCTTTTTTTCAATTCCTACTCTTAGTTCACTCTCTCTCTCTCCCTATATATATATATATATATATTGTTTAGATTTTCAATCGTTAATAAAATGCTTTCTATTCATCCTTTCAAACTAGGATTGACTTTATTTTTTTATATTACTTGTTTATTTAAATTTTCATTTAATTTTTTTCATTGTGTAATATAGTATAGAGCAAATCTCTGGGCTCAAATTGTGAATCCCGGACTTAAATTTATTATAAATATGATAAAAATGAATAACCTTAGAAACTGCTGCGCATTTTAATGCCTAGTCATTCTATGGAATGCCTAAAACTATTTAGGCAAAGTATGAAAAAGGTTATGATAAGGATCTTATATGAATGACTTACATTCCTAAAGATACAAATGTTATTCTCTGACGAAATAATTAGACTGATATTAAAAGATTTTATTCAAAATACGTAAAGCAAAATTAAAAAGTTGTACCAAACAAAAATTTTCTTTGTTATTGAGGAAAACAAAATCTATATAAATAAAAATGAATGTGTGTGTTTGTGAGCTCTCATGTGTGTGTTTGTGAGCCTAAACTGCTCATCAGATTGATTGCGATGAAACTTTGAGAAATGCTTGAACGCATGCCTGCGAAGATTTTGAGTCAGTTAATTTGACCCCTAAGAGTGAGTAATACCCTTAAGGGGTGTTAGGAATAAATATTCCCGTTTTTGAGCTATTAGACCTACAAACTTGGTAGGCATGTTTCTTTCAAGGATTAGAGGTTCGCTACAAAAGGGGGTTTGGCAAAAATAGAATTCTTAGGGGCGTTGGGGAGCTTAATTGGTGTTATAGATAAGTATTTTCGTTTTTGAACTATTGAACCTACAAATTTGAAATTCGGTAGACCTTTCACGTTTATGAAGTTAAGATTCACTACACAAGTGTCTTTACAAAAATTGAACCCCAAAGGGTTCATTTTTGCTCTTAAGCCCCGGAGGCCTAAGGAGCGTCATATATAAATATTTCCGTTTTTAAACTAGAAACATGCTAGAAATTTGGTAGGCCCGTTCCTTTCATGTAGTAGAGATTCACTATAAAAAGTGTTTTAAAAATCGATCCAAAAAGTCGTTGCGTTTATTACCGTTTACCGTTTTTGAAATTTTAGACGAACAGACTATAAATTTGTTGGCATGTTTTGTTAGTTGAATATAGATCCACTGAGAACAGGTTTTACGGAAATTGACTCCTATTGGAGGGAGAAGAAGCGGGGATTTGTCGGGACTTATTTAAAAACCAAATTTTGTTGTCTATTTACTACTTATCGTAATGAAATTCAATATGCATGTTACATTTGTTAACTGGAAATTCGCTAAGAAAAGATTTTACGGAAATTGACTCCTATGGCGGAGAATGAACCTTTTGCGCGGCGTATTGATAAAAAATATACTTTTTCAAATAACTGGACCTACATTAATGAAATTTGGTATGCACGCCTCTGTTGTTGAATTGAACGGGTTTTTTTGAACGAGGCTTACAGGAATCAACTCTCAAATGTGGTTACTAGAGCTTATTGATAAATAAATTCCGTTTTGATCTATTAAATTTAGACTTGAAATTTGGGTAGCATGTTTATTTTATTGAGTAGAAATTCACTAAAAATGGGTTTTGTGTAAATCACTTCAGAGGGGTAACGAGAGAGTAAAAGATAATTCTACTTCATTTTTAGAAATTATTTGGAAACTCTGTCCTTTTTCAATTCCTACTATTATCTCGCTTTCTCTCTCTATATATTTATCTTGTTCAAAATTTCAATTTTTCTGTTTTTTTTCTGGCAAGATTCACAAAAATGGATGTACAGTTCAATATCATAACGTGTAGCATTTTTGTATTTCGTTGAAAGTTCTTTCAGAATTCTATCACGTCCCCAGAATCCGGAATTTAATTTTGTTCTTGGCAAAATTAAATTCATATAATAAGTTCGCATCGTCAGAGCTCAGATACCTCCATCTGGGAAGGAAACTGGGTGTCAAAATTAACGGTGGTAATTGATATCGCCTATATAGTGCCGCACTAAAAAAGGATACTAGCCCCTGGAGAATATACTAGGTCTGCAAATGGTAAAAATACCAAAGTGCAGCCCCATTGGGAAAAAGAATTATCCTTGACGTAATACTGTGTACAGTAGTTCTTCCCAACATTGTCATCTTCCGGAACGGTCAACGTTTGATAATTTTACGGCAGCCGGCTGAGGATGGGACGTTGATTATTTATATTTTAAATTGTTTTGATTTTATAATTTAATTGTATTTAAACATGCCTTCAGAATAAAATTCAGTTGCACCAAAAAATAAATATAAAAAGATTTTACGTAAAATATAAAATGATTTCCATGAAAAGTCGCACAAACACGAGAAAAATACACTCCAGTAAATAAAATGGAAATAATTTAATGCTCTTTGAGTGGCCCGATACACTTTGATTCACGGACTAGGGGTTGGGGACCACTGTTATATGGTACTGACGCCTTCTTTAACAGGTTAAATGAGTTTACCTGTTAAAGAAGCATACATCACATCATAGCTATTCAGCAACCAATATTCACTGAGTTCAATCTTAGTAGTTATTTTGTGTATCAGGTATTAACTTCTAGTAAATAACTTCAGTTAATTTTTTTCTTCTTTTGCAGCATCAACTCAAATTTTGGACAACTAGTCGTCGAATAGTTGTTTCATGTGTCTAGACCATGGGTCGACAACCTTTTAGCTGTTGCGTGTCAAATCAATCTACCAATATGATTCATCGAACCACACACTACAGCAGTTGGTTGAGTAGCGCAAAGTGCCACTGAGAATTGTACCGCGTGCCACATGAGACACGTGTGACATAAGTTGCCGACCCTTGTTATTGACCATGACGCCTTCCCCAACACTATAGCTTGTTCCTTCATTTTCAGGTAGCAAAGGAAAAACCAATTTTTTGTTGAACAAGTTTAAGTAAAATTGAGTATTTTGACATTTCCGAACAAACAGCAACTGTACAACTAACAAATCCTGAGCCTGAGACACGTGTTAAAAGTTTTGTGTCTTGCCACGCAATATTAGAAACGAATCAGAGATGTATTTTATACTTTGCCGGTAGCATATATATGTAAACTATTAAATTTTCCTCTACTAGGAATTGTGTAGAAATGTGTCAAAACCCAGGATTTAAGCTTATTAAAATAGGAATAAACTTTAATTGATGCTTAATCAAACTCGATATAGCCATGGTCAGATTAGAAGCATGACGCATTAAAAAAAGCTATTCGACGTATGCTTTAAACTAGTAATATTTTTTTAATCCCGAATATTAGGTCTGCACATAAAAAAATGTAGTTACACGTAATGTGAAATGTAACATCCTCAGTCCTAGTAAAACGTACACCCAGACATAGACTCGAACTCTTGACTTTCTTCCGTGGTTAGCAGTCTTGCGCTCTACCGACTGAGCTATTCGGGACTTTTGTTTCGATAAATACAATGTTTCTCCACACATCGTTTGAAGTATTTGCAAGATATGTCATACACTCATAAAGAGATTCAAATTAAGACTCGAACTGAAGCATTGCGGCGACAGGCTCTCTGTATCTATTAAGCTTCTGCAAATGTGTAATCAAATTGAAAATAGCCATATGGAGATTAGAAGCGTAACGCATTTAAATGAAACTATCTGATCTTTGCTTCAAACTTGTCATATTTTTTTTTAATCCGCATAATCAGATTTGCACATAAAATATTGTAGTTACACGGAATGACGATTGTTGCATCCTCAGTTCTAGTAAAAAGCAAGCTCAGACTTGAACTCTGGACTTTTCTCCTTGGTTAATAAGTCTAGCGCTCTACCGACTGAGCTATCCGGGAGTATGGATTCGATGAAGAAAATAATTCTCCACATTTGTTGTACTTGCAAGACATATCGTACCTTTAGAAAGATATGCAAATTAAGACTCGAACTGAAGCATCGCTCCCACGGGTTCCCTGTCTCTATTAAGCTTCTTCAAATAATTTATCAAACTAAAAACTGTCATGGTGATCTGAGAAGATTTTACCTAAACATCCTCACACAAAATTGTCTGTGCATTTACTTTTTTTCAACATAAAATCAACATAAGGTTAAAACTACAATAGCTATTCATTCACATGCAAAGGTTTAAAACATATTCTATTGCTACCTTTTTCAATGTTTACTTAATGAACGCAAACATGTTTCTTAATTATGATCGTCAACTTTACGAACTTTATAATCGTTCTATTTCTTTCAATCTTTATGTCTGTCAATAAGTACTGAAAATATATACATTACTACATTGAATCCTATCTCGTTATATCATTGAGCTCAAAATAGCACTCGAAAGAGTCCATCACGCACCTTGTGGTCCAGAAATATCCGAAAACAAACGCATCTATCATAGAGATTTCTTCTTTCCCGACAGCAGAAGGTGGTCTCAACAAGGCGCTCTGGCTGGGTAGGGGACAGTAAAGAAAATTTATTTATGTCACTGCTGTCCACAATTGTCAGAACAAATTTATGACACTTTCTCATTCTACCTGCTTACATGTCGCAGCACTCACGTGATATTTCTTTTTTTTCTATTTACCGGATTCTTTGTAAACATCATTTTTATAATACCTACTACATATATATACATCTTGTTCAAACTTCTTCAAATTTTGAATCATTAGAGAAATATTTTATTAATATTAATTGAATGGAAAATGAATAAATAGTAGCAAACAAAAATAAAATCAAAGCGCCATATGTAAAAAGGAAAAGCGTTCGGTCTGTCCCTGTAGCGCAATAGATAGCGCGTTGGAAAATTAGTCCAAAAGTCGTGGGTTTGAATCCTACCTGGGACAGACTAATTTCTGAGATTGTGATTTCTTTTTTGATACTATTTTACTGGAATAATTAAATTTAATTAATGAATAAATAGTAAGAAACAAAAATAATAGTCCAACATCATATTTGGAAAGAAAATTTCGAAGTCGATGGTGGTGGGCCAGAAGGTGACACACAGCTCTACGACGCTTTGCGTTATGATATGTAACCCATTTCTCATCTCCTCTCACAATCTGTGTCAAGGATGGGTCATTTTTGTTCCGGTAAAGTAAGTTAACGCAGGTGGTGATTAGGTCAATACGTTGCTTAGCTGTCAGGTTATGCGGAATCCAACGATTCAACTTTCTCTTAAGACCAAAGCTAACTAGCCGTCTCTCGACCGTTAACCGGTGTATGCTAAATGTCTCCGCTATATTTCGTATGGTTGGATTCGGGTTGTTCCTTATGACTTGTTTAATATCGTCATTTATAAAGTGTGATGGTCGTCCACTTCTAGCCTGATCTAGGTAGCTCTTCCGTCTTCTTCCCTAAATTTACGAAACCATCGAATACATGTGCTTTCGTCTATTACATCCTCTCCATAAACTTGACAAATATTGCGACTTGCTGTGGCTGCCCTACTCTTTATATCAAACTCGTATAGCAAAGAATGCCTCATATGCTTCTTCTAGCTTTCTATGTTACACAATCTAAGATTTTTTTAAAAATTATTAAGTGTGGAGACACAATACATTAATATATTAAACTTCCACAGGTTTTGATAAGTCAACGGCTTAAGTCATTACAACGTCATGTGTGGCGTCAATTCCTTTGCAGATTTGCATATCCAAAAACGGGTAGAGCTCTCTTTCGCACTCACCCAATAATTCTTTCGAATTACCAATTTAAAATTATTTTACCTCCAGCTTAGATTATGAAACGCTGAATAACCAATCAATAATGAAAACCTCTAAATATTATGACAATATCAATGGAACGTTTTGGAAATAAAAGACTAGAACGGATACAACAACGCCCCCGAGAGGACACAGAGAGAGAATCTCAGTCTAATCCTAATCCTAGGTCTAGCAGAAGTAAGGTTGTTACGTATAGTAATGTAATGCTCAAAACTTTTCCTTTACAAGTTTTTTTTCTGTGCTATGCTATTTATAATTAAATATTGATTAATACTTACTAGCTGGCCAGATCATTATTGATAAAGGGTAAAATTTGTAACTAAAAGGAAAAATATACTATATAGTTAATTTTCTTTTAAAATATATTGTTAGGTTTATCGGGGTTCGAGGATTTTATGTAAAATCAGTCGTAAGAGCGATGATTATTTATTGCCGTAAACCAATCCTTTAAAATACAGGATTCAACAGCCAAATTAGTAGAATAAATATCAGAAGGATTTTACACCTTCAACAGCTCTCAGACACAATTATCAGTGTCTAACATACACGTACGTAAACAATTATCTACAAGCACCGCTCGTAATATTGAACAGTCGAGCTAATCACAAATTCTCACGGTCAAGGCAAGTTTACTAATCGCTAGTTAAAACCAGACTGACTGTTACGGTGAGTATCGCTCTATTTATAGCCGTGATTGAAACTTCGAGAAAGGTGCGCTCACATCATAGAAAAAAAATTAGTGGAAATTAGTGGATTTCTACATTTTTTTCTGGAAGAATCCAGAGGGTCCCGAACTCGCCAACATTGTCACCAATTTCGCTAAATTGATCACCAAAGTTGCCAATTTGGTCACCAAAATGATGCCAACTTGGCTCTACCGCCAATATTTCGCCAAGTTCCTATTGGAAAGCCATTATAACGTAAGGGATGGCGTTGCATGTGAATATTACAGTTTTAACATAATATAGCAGAGTAATAAAATGCATTACGCATCCAACTATAGATTATTTACACTATTTTACAAAATTCGTTACACTATTTTCTATAACAAAAATTAATATTATATTAAGTTTTCAATGAATTTCTGAAGAGAATTTGAAAACGGAAATAGTATTATGATAGTTTTAAGTGCATATCAGTGATAGTTTTGGTAGTGGAATTTCATTGAAACAATGTTTTTAAATTGCGGAGTCAAATAGTATAACTAACTTTTAGTTATTGTATTAATCATGTAAGAGTATTTTTCTGCCACATTTTTTTCCAATTTTAAGAAAAAATCCGTAATATAATACGCATTTAATTTTGACAATGGAACAATTTTCCCAATCATGAATTATACCCTATCAAAATATATAGTTAATATGTCGATTTACGATAATGATTGCGATGATTCATGACAAATCCATTTCCCGATTTATTCAATCTGACTTTTTATGATAATGCATTCAGTTTAGAGTGAGCAGCGTTTATATCAACCCTTTATCGGACGCTATAATTCAATTTGTGGCTTAAACGCCTCTCATTTCTGTGGACACGGTAAAAGACAGCTCACTCCATTTCATTATTTAAGATTACTGCTACCCATTCCAGCGATTTATTTCACAATTATTCAGCATCTCTATCACCATGGAAACGGAGCCCATACCTCAAGCCTGAGACAAGATAAGTTCAATTGTATAATTGACTCCAAAGGAGGATTCGTATCTTATTTATGGCATCGAAGGAGTAACGGATATGCTGATGGTTGCGAAGATCACTTTTCAGAGATTTTGTGCTTCTCGTATGGGTTACGTCAACACAAAGCTCATAATCTTACTTTTTCTAAAAAATGTTTTCTTGAAGGCTACACGGTATCCTACAAATGTCAAAAATACCGAATTTTTGTTTTTCATTTTCTTGTGATGCATATCACTGGGAAGCTTGCCACGAAGTTTAACGTCAGATAACCAGTCATAGAATTTAAGATATTTGAAGTTTCCTGAACTTAAGTTTTGGTTTCAGTTTAGTTTTAAAGCATTGTCTACTCTTAAATTGAATAAATTACAAACAATTTTTTAACTCAGTTAAATATTTAAGGTGAAATGATTATTAATTTCTTTTTTCATTACTAAAATTGTCTCTGTTATATATATATAATTATTTGTTGCTTAAAGTTTTTTGTTTACATTTTTAATATTCTACTTTAACTTATTCATCTTTTTTAATGTTAAATTAACTTGCAAAAAATGTATTAAGTTAAATATTGTGTTTAAAAATCAAAATCGTTACAAATAATAGAAAATTGATATATGCATTAACGTTAAAAAGGTAAAATTGATGCCTAACTTAATACTAACTTACCATTATAAGTACTAAAATTTAGAATTTATTACAAAAAAAAATTGTTTACTTTTTGGTAAATTAACAGAGGAAAATAAGATTTGATTATATTTCACCTTTTAAAAATGCCAAATTCAAAAACATAAACATGAAAAACATCATATAAACAGAAAAAAACAAACAGATATATTCGTTACCCTTCGTTTTGAAATATAGTTTTATGCCCTTATTTAAAACGGCAGATGAACTAATAAATTTTTTTTAATAAATTATTTGCAGTTTTTCAATATGAATGTCTAACATGTGAGGCTTAGAAATAGATGAAAATTTTTTTATAATAATCGACTTAAAAATTCGCGCTGCATCAAAAAATAGTGTTTTTTGCACTATAAAAAAATTAAAGCATTGATTTATTGATAAATGATTGACACCCTAAAAATAACATATTCATAAATTGATTTAAAATATTTTATTTTAACTATAATAAGGTACTAGTCAAAAATTAAGTTTTATTGATCATCATTAATTAGGAAATTATTCAAAAATAGAAAAGAAATGTACAAACATCCTAAATTAGAAAAACAATCCGTTTAGTTATGAATAGTGAAAAATTAATTTTTAAAAGCGAAGAGAGGCACAGCGAAATGCATATATTTATAAGGGGAAATATTATTAACGAACCTTGTGGGTGACTGCAAGCAGCGATGTATACAGAACAACAGCGAAGTGAAAATTCTCGTATACATTGGAAAATATTCCTAATTGGAAAATATTCTTTTTTCGTCAACATCTAGTTTGGGTGATAAGGTCTTCTGTTGACTGAATGGGAATCCTGGACAAGTAGGATTTTGGCTCTCCCCAGAGGAAGAAATATCCAGACAGAAGAGTCTAAGAATCAAAACAAAGGGTTTACTAAGGTCAGTTTACCTGTTTCAAAAGGTAATGTTCCAAGCAAATTCCGCTTTAACTTATCATCCATCCTATTTTGCTGGTTCCACATAATCGCTGGTTGATTTTGTAACGTAGCTGTACTGATAAGGAATTGCAACTTCTGTTCATCTAATATTTTTAGTAAGAACTATATATGTATCGCAACTATGTGTTAATAATCATGATTATCTCTACTTGTGGCCGCGGTAGCCTAGTGGTCAAGATCACGGAACGATTTGTGATTTTAAGCAATTTTGGAAAAATACTAATTGTCCAATTTGACGTATTAAAAAGAAGAAATCTGCGCATATTGCTGCAATTAAGCTAAAATTAGCAAATATTCTTAAATATATTCTTAAAGCAGCTCTCTTGGGAGACGTGGGGCGTGTTAGTCTAATGGTCAAAGTCAGGGAATTCTGGCTGGAGTGTCATGTGTTCGAGAATCGTGCCGCTGAAGGCCTTCCGTACAGAGGGGGTTAATGCTTATGTTGTATACGCCGACGCTTAACTGTCCTCCCGTTGGTGTGGTATGGAAGTTAACAGAAGTGAGTGACAGCTCAAGTGTCATCCTCGTCACATGATCATGGCTTATATTTAAGAGATCCATCTCCAATATCCATCGTTCAGTTTTATAGTGCGATGTAAGTAAACTCTAAATCTAAGCACATCACTACATTCACGGGGGATTATTTTCAATTACCTATCTCATTTTTAGTGCCCTCTCTCACATGCCTAGTTGAATATGCTGCCACATAGGAAAGTTGTCTCATTCATATGTGTGGCAGTGGTAGCTTAGTGGTCAAGGAAACAAACTCGTGTCTGGCGTGCCATGATTTAAATCCTAGTACCACTAAAGACCGCAGTGTATGGGG